CCAGGCCATTGTATTGTTGCCATGACTCCGGAAGTACTCCAGGACGTAAACCATCAAAGTCGACTGCCTAGTTCTGATTAGGAAGTCAATGTAGTGACTCGTCGTATGATACGCTGGACGCTTCGACGTATCCAAAATATGTCGAATACTAGTGCGTGGGTGCTCCAGGTATAGTATCGATAATATTATTATTGTATTATTAGTGCCGATACTCGGTCCTTGTTGGTGATAAATCGTACTATGGGACAATGTTGGACAAGGCTTTGCCCTATCATAGGGCGGCTTTCCCGATCGCGTTTGCCGTTTGCACCTGTTTGTGCCGGCCCTTCAGCATCCTCTCCGATCAATCAAGTGAACAACGTGACCTTTTCGGTGAGTTTTTTCCATGAGATAATCATGAAGAGACCCACGCCCAGCCCGTCGAGGAATTCCCAAGAGCTCGGGGGCAATCGGCCGTACATCAGAGCCACGAATGCATATGCCGGTGCTATGCATAGGATGCGGGTTCGGTCTGAAAGGCAGATTGACACCCCTGGATGTGTGATCGAAGGTAAAATCGAACCAACTTCGTTTGTTCAAGATCTCGATTTCGCCACGGATAGTATTTTCTGCATCTTCCGGGCGGATATCCAGACAGGCGTGGTAGCAGAAACCAGGCAGCCACTGCCATTTCAAACACAATAAATAAAACTTCGTTTCTGGGCGGAGCTCCCGAGGACAGATCAGCACTTGGGTTCGAATTGAGTTACGGTCTTAGCGAACAGAGTCCTATTCATGACCTACGCTATATCTCGGGAGGGTCTGTTCAGACGAATCGTGAGAGTCTGTTCGGGATTGTCAATCTTTAATATCGGTATATAGGATTTATTGCGTCGTCAATTCGTGCTGCATATGCGAAGTAATTATTTGATCACTACCACTGCTCGTTCGTATTCCTAGACGACTGCGCGTCGGCACGTAGATTGCAGGACGGAACTGAAAGATGGCGGCCGGCTTTAAAGTGCTCGTCCAGGGAGTGTTCGGCAGTTGAGTCAGCAGTTGAGCTTTGGAGTCGACGACTTTGTTCATGTATCCCTGTGCAGCTTTCGTAGCTGGGGCCTCAATTTGCTCAAGTAGCTTAGCATACCGACATTTGGGGACGGCACCTTTGACGGTATTCCAGCCAGTCGGCTCATCTCTGAAAGGAATCGTGAGAAGCCTAACGAAAATCTCAATGTCCGAATTTTTTTCCAGCGCTTGTAAAATTCCGGAAAAGTCAGTGCATTTGCGGCGATCTTCCACTTCGAGAAAGACGAGAGACGCGAGCAAATGCTCTGAATCAGCCAGAGTAAATCCAAAGTTAGTGTCCGTGAGATATGGAGATTGATGATCAAAAGTTCAAATTGCTCAGTTAAGCCCAAGACCTCATCAGTGTCATTTATGTAGCTCAGAGGATTGTAGCAGGGGAGGATTTCATCAAGCCCCGAAAGATCCTTGTCTCGCTTTTGTGGTTCGAACACGCAAGACTCGATTGCAGCGTTGCGAGTGGTGGTGAGTGCCCCGAGGAAGGTAGGCTGAAGCGAGCGAGGAACGATGTCCAGCATAATTCCAAGACCTAACCAGACCTTACCAACTATCTATATACCGAGTAGAGAAAGAGATCAGATACTGGTTGGTTGGTTGGTTGGTCGGTGGCTTCGTCGATGGTTGAAGACCTGCATGCCATGTATAGGAGGGTCATGGGGATGGAGATCTTGGGGAAACGCGAGGAAGAGCTGCGCGAAGGAATCTTCGGCGAGTTAAAATAGGTTGACTGACGTATTGATCTGTTGATTTGTCGGCTTAACTATTCAATTGTCGTTGCCATTCTCGTCCCGGACGTGGCTGGGGTTCGGCGGCGTTGCCCATCTTTATAAAAAGCTTCAGAGAACGACGACTTTCCGTCTCGAGTCTGTCAGTCCAACCGTCTCTCTTTACATCGACATCTGTAGGGCGGCCCGGGATGAACCTCTGCGATTTGCTGGCTGCCGCGGCGCGTGGGATCCGGGGGGTATCTAGATATAAGCCTACCAAGGTAACTTGAGTCAAGGCACCACCAGTGCTAGGATGTGGTGCAATGTGTCAATTGCCAATCGTCAATCCTCCCGACCGGTCGTAATAGATGTTGTTGAGAGAGCTTCGCGATACTTGGCGCTTACTGATGTATAATACGAGTGGGCTTTCTTTTCGGCGTTTTCCCCCTTTTGGGTTGTATATTAGTCTGGTCGCGTACGTACGTATACCTGTGCTTTTATTCCTCCTTCGTCTCTTCCTTGTTCTGCATTCCTCTCTCGCTCTCTCTGTGTGTTTCCGCCCTATTTGAAAGGATTCGAAGTATGTATCTCCCTCCACAACTGCTGGCCGTCGATGTCACTCGTGCTGGGAAACCACAGGAAATGGAGCAGTCGGTCCTTCAGACTCTGCCAGCTCAATATCTGCATCCTATGCACGAGCCGCTCGAGAACCGAAATGTACCATGTCTTCTCTGCCTCGCTCGCTTCGTCGGCCGTGGAGGCGAGCGCTCCCATGAATGTGATCCACAGCATCAGCGATGCGCCCGTCTGCCATTTCTTACCGTTGTGGCTGCTCGAAGTGGACACCAAGTGTTGCTTGATCCGAGCGGCGAGCTTTGCAAAGGGCGCCCGCGTGTGAGGGACCGGGAACACGGCGATGAGGCTATACACGACGCCTGCGCACCAGGTTGCCTGTTGAAGCGCGTACATTTCATGCTGGGATGTGCTGTCTCCCGGACCCGAGAACATTGACATTAAACTATGCTGGACAAAGTTCCTTTGGTCGGCTAGGATCCCCAGGCTTTGAGCTTGCGGTCTACCCATGATATAGTCATCGACTGCCAGCAAATACGTCGAAAGATGCAGCAGAACGAAGTAGAGTTCTTGGGCGAAATCCAACGGCAGGAGATCGTGAAGGGTTTGAAATCCTGAGCCGAGCTGACCCAGAGGATGTCCAGTCCTTTTAACGGTGGTTATGGTGCGTTCCGGAGACTCGCCGATTGGCACAAAGATCAAGGTTGGTTTCTGCAGCGATCGGGATGCTAGGATCAGATCCCCACTACTCAGTGAGAGGTAAGCAAGAGCGATATGCGAGTAAGGTGGAGAAGGTTATCGCAGGTACAGTATGACGGGCGTTCTTACTAGCTCAGCATTGCCGCCAGACCGGGGGCCTTTATCTCGCCAATACCTCCCCGCATCGACAGCATTCTCGCCAGCCCAAGGACGTGTATGTTCACGGGATCTAGTCGACCTGCGTATATATCCAGGCCTTGCATAGCATTCATTGGACCCTGCGACGGCGACCGCGGTGGCTCTCTGTCGTCTTCTGTCTTATCACCATGAAATGCCAATGCCTGCACGGCAAGAACACTCTCGTCGGAACATCGAGTTGAGACATTATTGAATCGTCTATTCACGTCTCGAACTACCTCCGAGTAGCAGTACCAGTGTACCTTCCGACTGACTGGTTTCAAGCCAGAAGGTTCGGTGGCCGACAGCCTCGCTAATTGGCCGAAGCAAAGGGCGTGGAACAAGGTGCTGTCACTCATGTACCAAGATATCCAATGGCGTGCGACGCTCTCTTCCGGCCGGTCTGGATCCGGCAAAAATATGATATTGAGGAAATGGTTGACTAATAACAGCATGGCAAATCAGATCAAGAGTCCCTCCCCACTGGGTCGCATAATTCATGCGGCAACCGAGATATGGGGAGATAGTTTTGATGGCTTACCTTGGCCAATGAGCTGGGTAGCTATCTCCTTTGGTAGCCGCGATGGATAGCTTGCAAAAGGATCAAAGTCCCCCACTCCGACTGTATGGAGAGGGCTGGGGACAGGGCACGAGTCAAGAATGGTCTGCCTCACGGCTCTTGATGGCACAATTTGTCGAGAGGCTGACGGACCAGCTCCCTCTAAGCTAGCGTCATTGTCCTGCTCGTCATTTGAACGTGATACTAGCTCGGTATTGACGAGACGGGTTTGCTGCTCGCGCGGAGCCTGACTTGAACCAATCTGAGCACCGGTCTCTTGCTTCAACTGTTTGCCCTGCTTGATCTTGGCCCACGAGGCCCGTGAAGCATGGGCTCGAATTAATGCTTTAGCCTCACGTCTCGCCTGCGTCGAGGCAGGCCGTGCAGTTACAAATCTCACTTTGGGCCCAGCCTGCTCCTTTTCGGTGGTTGGGTTAACTTCCTCGGTCTGGTCTGGCATCATCAAATGCCAGACGGAGTTCGTGCATGGTGGTTAACCAGAAAAAACGGCTCTTTCCGACGAGCTTTTTTTGGACCCGTAAGCTTGTTTCAACAGCAGGAGGATCGGCCAAATCGATAGGGGTAATCTTTGTAACGATGTGACAGAGAAGGATCCCACAGGGAAAACGTAGGCGATGGGTAAGATCGTGATCGTGGTGAAAGCAAGGAAGAGGCGGAGAGGGGGTCTGTTTGGAGGAGAATTTGTAGATGAGCACGTGCAGGGCTGTTTGCTGACTAACCGGCAGCGCTATCCATTTTGGGAAGTTGGATTTTGGCGAGCAGTGGAGTCTCATTCGGTAGAATTGGTATCCACTGCTAAATGCTTTCCCGGTGTCATACGAGCCCTATGCCCTCATGGCACATCAGCCTCGAGGGAGACCAAAAATACACTCTGTTGCACTAGTCACCGTCATGAAACTCTTCGCAAAAATCATCATCGTTCTAAATATGACGGAGTACTTCGGCTGTTCGGCTCCGCACGCTGCTGGGCGGCTCTTTCCCTCTTTTAGTCCAGTTCACGTTCCCACAGTAGAAAACTTCAAAACCGCTATCATACTCGTTCTTAGTCACACATCCTCTGGCCTTCGCGTGCCTCTTTGGTTGAACAGGAGAAGCACTGAACACTTGCTAGGAATTATCTATTCCCGAGACCCATTCTTGTCGCTTGCTTTGGGACCAGCATCATAACCCAACGGACGGACACGGTCATTGGAAGAACGATGGGTCCCAGTGAGTCGCCTTTCGCCATCTTCAGATCGATGGTCTCAAGGCTACAGTACGCTATGTAAGCAAACAATACTGACAACAAGGACCGTTCAGACACTTCTCGTCACCCTGCTGCCCAATACGCCTCAGTTGTCCCGCAGGCTGATAGGAGGATATCTACGTCTTCTGAGGGCGCCAGCCCGCCTGGAGAGATGCACGCTGGAGAGACAGCTGAGATGCGAGAGGTATGCGGGGCTGGAATATCGCTCTAACGCACAGTCCATGCTGATATCGTTCTCAGCGTCGGAGAGCACAAAATCGCCTTGCCCAACAAGCTTTCCGCGCCCGGCAAAAGGTCAGAGTCGAGGCGCTCGAGAACGAATGGGCGCAACTTCGACAGCTGCACGAAGCCCTGAACCAGGCCTGCTCGCAGCGGGCCAAGGAGATCAAACAGCTAGAATCGCGAGTCGAGGAGTTGCTTCACAACATTCAACTCCTGAAGAGCTCGCAGGAAATCGAGAGAAATTGGTCCTCATCGCCCACGACGCCAGAGCAACAACAATATACTCAGGCGAGTGCAGTTACAGTAGCCGAGGCTGATCTGCGAAATTTCTTCAGCGGAGGTGGACTCTCAGAATTACCTGACTTTCCACCATCATTCAAATCGTATTGATCTACCGGAGCCGGGGTCCTCGCCCCTCCCAAAAAAAGGCCATCTCCGACCAGGTGGAATGTATTACAGACCTATCAGTTCACATAAAGACCGTCATCCGGTTTATGGCGCCTGGCTTTTTGCTCTCTATGGGCCTGAAATCAACGATTCAGGTAGAAATTGTATAACTTGACACGAAACACTTGCTCTCATTGTTTTATATTGTATCCAGCACGTCGTCTCCTTGCTGAACCGCCTTCCAAATATCGAGTCCGTCCGGGTCGCCCGTACGGGGATGCCACAAGAACGTCTTCAACAAAGCCTTCAGATCGTTCCATTCAGCTATGTCATCGAACTCGTTCAACACTTCCATGACCCGTAACAGAAACCACGGACGGTCGGGCAAGCCTATCGACGCGATGGCGCCCATGACCAGGATCCACAGATGCAGCCTCAGCCTTGGATGCTCAAAGTCCTTCCACGCGGTCGCTTGCAGTGCGCGCTTGAGCCTGTCGATCAAGGTCTCAAATGGCCCCACCACGGGGGGAACGGGGAACACGACGATAAAGGAGTAAATGATGCAGGCTAGCCGGCAGGTCTCGTACTGCACGTCGTCATCTGCAGAGATGCCACACGCGGTACTTGTGGTGTTCTGGAACTCCTCCGCCGACCACAGCGACATCAACTTGTGCTGGACGAAGTTTCGCTGGTCGATAATCTCGGGCGATGTGCGGGGCATCCATCTCCCGCTCGCGTGGTTCTCGACCACGACGGTGAAGTCGCAGATGTCTTGGATGACGGTCAAGAGATCTGCCAGGTAGCTCGGGGTGGTGGGGGTGGTGGTGGTGGCGGCGGCGGTGGCGGAATGATTCTTCGTGTTGTCCCAGACTTGCCAGAAGCCCGTGCCCAGTTGGCCCAAGTCGGTAGCAACGGCGTCGCGCTCGTGTTTAGTTACCGAGAGACGACCATCTTCGCGGACGAACGTGGTTGTGTGGGATATAAAGGGGAATATGGGTCTTCCAATGTTTCGGCACGCACCCATGATACCGCACCTGTGGGTTCGGGTGTCATGATAAGTCAGCAATTTTGGTCTTCGAATGACCTGCCCCGGAACTTCACCCAACCCGTGCCGCTGTGGAGGAAGTGGGAAATGTATTGGGTGATAAAAAAGAAAACCAACTTACCAAGAGACCACGGGTGCGATCCCGGGCGTCCTGATTTTGTGCAAATCCCCGAGCAGCTCCATCATTTTGATAAGACCTAGCACATGCTCAATGACAATCTCCATCTTCAGATAGATGTGGATCGATTGTAGCTCTCTCAGAAAGGACTGCCGCGGGTAGCTCTGCCCGGACCGTATCCGGTCTTCGCGTCCAGAGTACGCGAGCACCAGGACCGCCCAGATGTTGGAGTCCGACAAGGCCCGTTTGGGGTCCGGGTCGCTGATTTCTTGATTCAGGTGCCGGATAGCTTCAGTGCCAACCATCAGCTCCGTGGCAGTCGGGTTGCTGACGCCTTGCTGTATGCGGTCGTGCACCATGACCGCGAAGATCATTGCATGAAGCTGTGCCGGGTGTTGCGAGAGCGAGGCCATGACGTTGCTGGCGAAGGATCTGCCATAATTCCCGGTCAAGGCGGCCTTGGATACCAGCTTCGCGAGGACATCGGGGACTAAGGAAGGAGCAGCATCGAGTCAGCATAAGAAAGGAAAAAATATCAGATCCCCCCTTCTCCAAATAGATATGGAATAGTGCTCAGGGTCACTGACGGTTATGCAGGTGTCGCTTGACCAGCCCATTCGGAAGGAATGATGGGAGAAGGGGATAGGGTTCGTCGGCATCAGGCTCCAACAACAGGGAGGGACTTTGAGAGTACTTCACTGCAAGCAAAGTCTCGTCATGTTCTTCTTTCCTGGAGCCAGCCTTTGTCAAAGTCCCAGTCCCAGGTTTTCGATCCTTCCCTCGCTTAACGTGAGGCTTTCGCGGGGACGCAGCAGATTGCGAACCAGTCGTCTTGGAAGCTAATAGTGTGCCTTGTCGCCCATCTTGATGATCGCCGCCCTCGTCCTGATCGTCCTCATTTGCGTCCTCAGGCCCCGGTCCGCCCCGATCTCTTGGGAGCCCTGGCCGGGCCCGGAGAGTGACCGAGTTTGCCCAGGCGCGGGGTTGGGGTTGACTTTGCCGCATATCCCAGAACTTTGCCCTTTTTAGACATTAAGCCGTAGTCAGTGATTTCACATGGAGATCGGGTTCTTAAATGACAGCCCACTGCTGCTCGTGTGTCTGGAGTTGGCGATGGCTTGTCTGCAATATCAGAAGAGTTGTTCACTAAGTTTGCGACCATTACCAAGTGGGGCGTTGACAAGGCTGATTCGCCAAGAGTGTTTCTGCCATATTTGTCTTGGTCTGAAAATCCAACTTCCTTTTGTGGAAGATTCCCAAGGGACGCTTGGGCCGTGTCTGCCGCATTTCCGCCGAACGTTTTTATTGCCTTGCTCGCATCGCTGGGTCTTCAGTCTTTGGAAAGTCACGAGCAGAGGTGGACTTGGGCTCTGGAACCGGTGCAGACCCTTGTTCCCCGAAGTTAAAGCCGCAGATACAAGCGCCGTACCATTGTGAAAATACCGGCAAGTCGTTCGCGTATCTAGATTTATCCCCCATAACTATTCGTACGAATCATGTCCAACCTGCCTGCGGCCGCTGTTTGCAAGCGGATAATATTGTTGTGCTTTTCTTACGTCTTTCAAATGACCTCTATGATAAACCCATACTTTTTCAGGTGCGCAACTCTTACATCAATTGCTCCTCGGCAGGAGATTCAGAATCTATAGTCGCTCGATCTCACCGTCCTCCCTAGAGCGGATGTAGGGGTGCGTGGTTGATTGGATTGAAAGGCAACCATTGCCCACCCGGTTTGGGCAGCTCCACGGCTCTTCCGGTAGTGTATGGGTGATTCTGTTCAATGGGAAGCATCATGGTGGTCGCCATCGGCGGTAGAAAGGCTGTGGATTGAGAGGCATCGTGACTGCACAGGTTGACATGGCTCGTAGGGAAGGCTCTGCCATATGATCTTGTTTGGGTAATGAACGTGCCCGATGAACGCGCCTCTGAGCCGTGCCCAACAGGCACGAATCACCCATCTGGAGTTCTGAATGTGGACTGTCGACCTATATCTTTGTACGATATCGCAAGTGTATGGGAATTCCGAGGGAGATGGGTGGGTTGAGTGACCCGTTTCCCCATGTGTGAGCCACCGTATACGATATTTTGCTAATATTGGGTCAACAGGGAGGTCAAGCACGATGGTTATAAAGAGACAATTGGATCATTTTCATATGATGCGATTCTGCAGGTCATCTTTGTGACTCTTTGCACATAGCCTGGCCAAAGTTGCGTCGCAGCAACGATAACCCCAGGCCCAAGTAACGCTGAGAGTGGCGAGGGTAATTGGATCCATTTCAGTTGAGTGGTGCTTGCGGAATTTTGATACAGTGATCTTCGGATCTGCAAAGGTAAGCTGCAAGATATAACAGAGCATGAACCTAGAGTTGAGGTGCGGCGAAACTTCTTATAGCTGAGCACCAGGATAGGCTCCTGTCTGCTTCGCTGAACAATCTCCACAAGAAGAGGCAGTCACCGAGCAGTGAATGTTTCCGGAATATCACTTGATCTCTTCCATTGGTCAACTGTTTTTCAGGCTGGGACCTTTGGCACTGTCAACACGAGCACCTGCTGAGAAACTCGCCCTTATTCAGCCTCGGAGTCGACGTTTGAGGGAAAGTCGATCTCGGCAAAGCGATCTTCATAGGTGCAGTCCAGCCACCGATGCAAGATGTCATGGGAAACCGATAGGGCGTGAAAGCCACCAGGCAGTGAACCTCGCAGAATTTCATGCAAGGGCGACTGGCGGGGGAAAAGCGTGGACAGGAATAGAGTCGCTGAGTTGACAGTGCGCTTCAGCCTCAGCTTGATCCCCTTCTACTTACAACATTAACCCGCCGTTGTTCTGCGGCTTCGGATCACAAAAGGGGCACGAAACCCTCTCTCTTTCCTGCGCACGACAGTCGGCAACGAAATCGAAATCATGCCAAATGGATTCCTGAGTCCTATGGGCTCCACGCGTTACCAGCCATTTTCTTCAGGTTTGTGGTTCTGTCCGTCGTTGTTAACGTTGTGCTGATCACTCCAAAAGGAGGGGACAGCAATCCTGCGTACTATAGCTATAGCAGGGAAACCCTCGTAGCCCTCGATCCCAGCGGGAATAGTGCTTTCGTTGCGGCTGGCAACGGTCAAGATCACGCATATGGATACTTGCCAGCACAACAGCACGTGGTTGATCGTCCATATACCGTGCAGATGAATCGGCCGGTCCACAAGAGCAAGCGTACTCTATGCATATGCCTCTTGGTTATGGTTGTGCTTGCCTGTGTTGGATCCCTGGCGGCGGTCCTTGCAATACACTACACCAAGAAGAAGTCGAGGAATTCATTAGAGCCAACATATTAGAATGGGTTAGCGCTCTTCCGCTCATAGGTAGAAAAATTTTGAATCGCCGGATGTCGAGAGGAAGGCTTAAGGTGCTAGAATTGGAATAATGAGAATGCCCAGCTCGTCGTCGATTCCAAGGTGTTGGCTGAGGTGCGGACGCTCTCTGCAGTGCAAGAATGAGAAATATAGACTAAGGCGGCTAAGACCGCTGGTATTTTATCTGGTATCAGATGTCATTTGTCCAATGGTTTTGAATTTGAAGGGATGGTTTGAGGGGACAACGGGCAATACTCATGGTCGTCTCGGGGCAGGATAACCCGCCTGTCCAGGTTGATTTGTTGCACCACCAAATCTGATGCCCATGTCTGGTGTCCAAATTCCTCCACCACTAATCGTGCCACCTGCAACACCGACCGGCAAGGGCGAAGTGGAGGGAAGTACTCCTCCGGCAGGGGGATTCCTTGTCGGTACTGGTGCCGTCATGGCTTCTTGGATATCTCCAGGTGGCTGTGGCTGCACTTGACTTCTCGTTTGCGGCGCCGCATTCTGGCTCCTTAATTCCCTCCGCGTCTCTTGAAGATTAAGCCTGCCCATATCCTGCCCCGCAAGCTCTGCTTCAAGCTGACTGGCTTCAACCCTGCGTTCGGAAACTTGCGCCTTGCAATTATCTCGAAACCGCGTCACATGAACAGCTAGATCATTGTAGAACTTTCTTCCAGTGTCCAGATTGCTGATGAGCTCTTTGTATTTGGCATATCCCGTGTCCAGAACCTGTAGAGCCTTTTGGCGATCTTTCGTGCCGGTGTCACCCCTTCGAGCGTCCAAAAATGCTTTGTTCGCCTCGCGCAACCGTGCGACAATTTGATCTTGTTCTTCTTGTTCAGTAACAAGAGCTTCTCGGTCAGGCTCATAACCCTGAAGCCGCGTTTCAAACAGCTTCTCAAACTGTCCTGGTTCGATCTTCTGCATGGGGTACTCTCGCTCTAAGCGAGCCGCTTCAGAGAGCAGGGCCGGTCCAATATCATCTGACTTGGCTTTCTCTTTCAAAGCCGCAATGCGGTTTTTCCGTCGAGTCTCCAAGCGGGAGACCTCGTTCAGACATGTTCGTAATCGAGAGGCGGCTTGTTCTATTGCTGGGGTCATGGTAACTTGACTGGAAGAGGGGACGAAACGTTCAAGATCGCGATTTGTGCCAGTCAAGATCTTGAGAATATGCTCGTTCTCCCGAAATTTTGTTTGCACTAGGTTGTCACTCGAGGCAGCAGAGTTTAGGTATGTCTGGAGCTCGTTTGAGGTCTGATATAGTTTGGCTAGAGCTGTGGTAGAGGGTGGGCGCACCCACCTCTCGGTACCATACTTTGCTCGTGCTCGGTCATCCTCCGCTCTCTCGGCCTCTAGGAACGCGACCCCTTCCTGGTAAATGGCGAGATCATTCGTCTTTAATTTGGTCGTGTCTTCCATTGATCTCTTGATTCTGTACAGCGCGTCCTGCTGTCGAAGCTCTTCAGCCTTCGAAACTAGGATGCCGGGCAACCCGAGTGGTTTTTCGAGTGCCTGCAACGAGCCGGGCAAATCGAGCGATTGCAAGATTTCTCGCAGCCTCGCCGTCATCCCTTCGAGGTCGACAATGATGGACTGGTGGACAAGGCGGTCACGTCGGTCTGCGTAAATTGATGCAGCTTGATGAACTGCATATGGAACAAGCTTCTCGAACATCGGCTTGCCAAAAGGTTTTCCCTCACCCAAGAGGGAAATGCCATTGACAATATCTGCCGGCGTTTTGGCAGCAACCATATTTGTTCGGTCCAGAAGCCTGAGCTCTGATTTAGGGGTCGGTGTTTGCAGGTAGATCAGATCATTGTCTCTTTCAGCCCTCTTCAGCTCTTCATTGACCCTGGACTTGAGCCCATTCAGATCCCCAACTACCGTAGCATTAATCCATCGGGCCTCTTGAAGGCCCTCATTGACACAGGTAAGACTGTCCTTGAGCCTGGCGACCTCTTCGCCGTACTGCTTGTTTTGAAGGCAGTATCGAGATTGCCTAAACTGGGCGGCAGCAGCGAAATGGTGATGCTTCGCCTGGAAATGATGTATCCATTCCGTGCTCACTGCCCTGGACTGTCGTGCGGCATCAGCGGCAAAGATGTAGTAGTCAGAGACCTTGGCTGCGAGTTTTGCTACTGTGCCATCCGACATATTCCTCTTGATTGCAATCTGCCAGAACGATTCCTGCCCTTGTGCCAAACACAGCTGCTGCAAACTCTCTAAAGTGATATCATCCATATCCTCCGGAGGAGTCGACCGCATATCAGGGAGGATGTCTGTGCGTATGAAGGAAAAGGTCCCAGCGGCAGCGATGCTGTACTCGGCGGCAGATTTCAGCCCGTCGGTTGTCGTCCGGTTCGTCGCATATGCAAGCTGTGAATATAAGGCCGCAAGGTTGAAGAGGACATTCGCAAGCTCGAACCTTAGGTTGTTCTGCAGCACGGGCTTATCTCGATCGTAGCCTATCGCAGGGTACCACGGGAAGTCGACGCCAATGTCAATGGGAAATTTCCCGCCCAGATACCGTAGCTGGGCTACGTAGATCTGAAGCCGCTTGACACCACTGACATGAGGTTCGCGGACGTTTATCGCGTCGTTCCGTAAACGGTCGATGTCTCGCAAGTCATCTGCGAACATGTCTGGAGACTGATCAT